GGGAGACATACACGACAAAAAATCGCGAAACGTCCTTTATCATGCCTACTACTGTGAACGATTTCTAGTTCACCCGCTGCGGATTGATCTACGAGGTTGAATTGGTCTCTGTCTACCTGCGTTATCACCAGACTCATCTCTTGCATACCATCCTCCCACATAATCCTACAGGATTCTAGAGATGGTTCAACAATTGATCGGGCTTCTCTGACTATTCATGGCATGCACCCGAATGCCCAGAATTTACCTATTCTTAACATTACTTTTCTAACCCAGGCTCCCTTCGTTCCTGAGAGCCTTGGGGGGTTAGTGTAATGCTATGGACTACTAACCATAACCGTCGACATGCGTTCCGTCTCTATCCAAACGCTACGGATGAGATATGAGTAGCATATAACGGTACACATTTCACTTGGGCAATTGTGAAGGAACGTGTGGTGATGTTTGGAGAGACTGAGGCGGCAGAGATCAAGAGTTGCCGAGACCAAACGTCCCCAGTGTCACAACATGGTCAGCCGAGCTGTCGCCCTTTGGGTCAATCACGCAAATCTCCAAATTCATTCTTCCGTCCTCTGTCAGTAGCCCCCAAGGGACATAAGTGATGGTCAGCGCTGGTCAGAGCTGGAGGTATTCGTCTTGTCGCTTGGTACTGAGACCGCTCTGCAGTCTGTCTTTGGCTGGCTGTTCAAATAGGACGATGACACACCGGTTGTCGCCTGCACGATGACGCCGAGATTTTACATCTGCCGGAAGTAAAAAAAAAAAAAGATGGGCTGTCGTAATAAGATGACTTCATAGGCCGGGTCCATCACTTTTGATTATTACACATTCACACGCAAAGTTTTGAAACGACCAGTCATTTATTGGTAGTTTCATCGATGACGTCATTGACCTGCTATTATTCCCGAACGTACGGACTTGATGTTGCTTTCCAAAGACTAAAGGAAAGAAGCTAGATCCTAAGCTTCTTCTGGAACAGTTTCGTGATCTAGGTCGGAGGCAAACGTAAACCTTGTTGAAATGGACATGGACCGGCGTAACACACGCCGCCCTCTCGGCAGGCCTCTGACCTATGTTCTCTCTCACCCTGGCATAACTCTCTTCGGTCTTGTCCTATTTCCTAGTTTATTCCCCTGCGCGCGCGCCTATTTGAACGGACACCGCGTATCGAGGCAGACGCCGATGTTGGGCGTGTAGCCTGCGCAGTTGAGGTCCGCGGCGCAGCCGACAGAGGGCCCGCCGTAGCAGCAGCAGCACTCTGCCTTTGTGGGGGCGCGCTTGTCGAGGGTCTCACCTGGGGTGGTGACGGCAGCGGCTGCTGCCGTGACGGCGGCAAGGGCGAGGATGCGGAAGGATTTTAGTTGCATTTTTGGAGCCGTAGGGAATTGGTATTTGGGGGTTGGCTCTTTGGTTTTTTTTTTTGGGATTATTTGGTGTGGGGATGATGCCTTTGCCTTTGGGATTGACGTGATTTCTGGTGCTGGGAGGAGTGGTGATGTTACCTTATGTACTTGAGTCATGGAGTAGGTATATGGCATTTTGCTGGGAGGTACGAGGTGAGAAGAGGCGTGTCTGCCATCTACATTCCTGTTGCGGACTGATCCTCCGGGAGGATTCCTCGCTCTGGAGTAACCAGTCTTGGTCTCATTAATTGATGATATCGCCAAGGAACCGGAGGAAGGCTTAGGGCTGGTATGAATTAGGGTTGACTGGCTCTTTCCACTTGAACCTTCTACTTGGACTTTCCACTTGGGGAGTCAGTGGCTGACTAGTTCAACCAGCCGGCACGTCTATCTGACTCGTTTGACAATGCGCAAATACGCGTTGAAGGAATTGGGGCGCGTCGGAGGATTTGCGGCACGGCATTCCGCTGATCGCGGGCGCGGGGCTTTCCATGGTCGGGTGCCCTTGGATAGCCTTATCAGAGCTGATAATCGGAAGTTGCCAAGGAGGAAGGAATCAAGTCTAATGCGCATGAGCTCGGAGTTTGAAGACTGATGGAGAAGGTGTTTGTAGAGACGACTTTTCTTCTTTTGGTACCGGTTTTTCTAGGGGACCATACTTTCTTCCCTTGGATTGTGTCTCCTTTGTAAAGAAAACGCTTATTGGTGTCAATCGACTGCTAGGTGTGATGGAAATAACATGCGTGGCGAGTGTACGGGTCGTGATACGGCGAGAGCCTAGTTTCTGGACAACCAGGTCGAGACTCAAAAGTCTCCTTTCGCTGAGTGATTTGTATCGGCCTCTCCCTTTCGTCGCCGATGGGTACGAGGACAACTTGTTCCGAAACATATCTCCCTACCTTACTTTGAGGACCAAATTTTTTTGCCCGCAGACTCCCGGCTTGAGGTTGAGTGGAATTGCATACTTCGCCCTTTTGAAGACTGGGACAAAGGCGTAGAAGTGTAGTTGAGAAATTATGCGTCATGTGACTTGGGTGTATGAATTGGGGATCAGGCGGCTTTATAGTGTCGAGGCACTTATAGGCCGAGTGTGGGAAGTTGAGATTTGGGATGGCAACGTCGGAGCAGGAGCCCGCCTCCGCGGGCGGACGTTCTAGGGTCTCATTTTTGGATGAGACGGGGACTCTTCCGCCTCCCCGGGGTTGCACGTACTAGGCGGCTAGTCGAGCTAGTGAACCCCGGAGCTCGCTCCGGCGCCCTTGGGATGAAACGACTTTTTCCAAGGAATGCTGAGCTTTGTGTGGGAAGTTGTGACTGCATCGGAGAGGAGCCCGCCTCCGCGAGGTGGAAAAGCTACTGTCTTAGTCGGGGATAGTGAACTTGGGAACTTTTTCTGCCATGGGTTCGCGTACGAATACCTAGAGTCGCTGATTCAAAGAGGAACGACGAAGGGCCCCTCCTTCGGCTTGGAGAAAATGGGCATTGGCGGAGCTTCACCCGACTCCGCGATGTCGCTTTGTGTAATGTGTTGGCAAAGGGGGGGCTCACCCGTCTGGCCCCCTGCGATGCACGCGATGCGGGTTTGGGTAAGTACTACGTCAGGTAGGTAGGTAGGTAGAATAAAGCTGAATGGGGGAGGCGGGCAAACTGTCAGAGGCCGAAGTCCGTCAACACCGACCACAACCTTGTGCTTCAGCGAGGCGTTGTTGGTTGCTCGTGGGGCAGAGATGGTAACGACGGAGCGCTGCCCGGCTCCGCGAAGCACTATATCGAGCAGAACACTCCATTTTCTATAAAAGAGCGACTATGGCGCTCGAATTTCTGCAAAATTCGTTTAGCCCAGAGGGCTGTAGTAGAGTGAGAGCTACGCAGACGGCCTCTACTGCACCCGCCGTTTCCTGTCCTGCCATGCTTGTCATCGGGGTTGCCTCTTTTCTGTCTCACATATACCTGGGTGGTTGCTGTAGCTTGAGAATTCACATTTCCCACCTCCAGGTCGAGAATCCCATGTTGGACCTTTGGTACAGGCTGTAGCTTTGTGAGATCTAGAAGGCGGCCAGCTTTGGTGAAGCCATCGTTTCTCCTCACATTCACGGCGGTGAAAGACACGCCATTATAAGGCAGTCCTCAAATGGTTGCCCGAGTGTCGATACAGTGGTCGGAACAAACGTTGAGAGCAGCGCAAAGCCCTGTTCGATTCCCTACCTAGAGCTCGTCGTGGGTCTTGACCTTCTCCTCAGTCGTCTCCTTGACCTCTCCAGTCGCCTCCGTCTCCCCTCCCTTCACCGGGACCTCGTCCAGAACCTGTTCCACAATCTCCTCGTCCGTAGCAGGATCGCCCACCTGCCAAGCGTCGGCGTTGCCCTCGGAGATGTCGGCAATGTGCTGCGCAACGGCGTCGACCGTGATCTTTTCCCCCTTGAACGGGAACGCTAGCCCCGCGGCCGGGTTGTAGACCGCCACGCCCTCGCGGGCATCCGCAGGAAGGCCGAAGAGCGCGGGCATGTCGGGATACTCGCCGAGGTCGACCGTCACGAAGGTGATGTACTCGTGGTACTGCTTCGCCAGGGGTTTCACGCCCAACGTCCACGAGTCCAGGTTCTCCTCGACCGTGGAGAAGAAGTACGTCAACGACTTGCCAGACTGTGAACATTTTCATGTTAGCGATTGCCCGCCTTTTGGACAAGGAAAGGGGACGTCTGTAGACTGTCGGGGGTCACGGACGCTCAGATACTCGGCCTCGTTCCTCCTCGTCAACCGCGGTACGAGCTGTGAAGCGCACTTCTTCAGCATCTTTTCCATCGAGTCGACCTCGTCCAGATCAGACGTCATGTGGAAAGCCCCATCGGCGTTGTTGTAGCACGCGATCCGCCCGGGCGCCTCCTCGATCGTCGTCAGCCCGAAGGCGTAGCGGTCGCGGTACCGCCCGGCCATCTCGGCGAAGCGCTCGCGCAGATTGGTCTCGGACTCGGCCATGTGTGCAATCAGCACCACGTCGTCGTCTTTGTTGAAGGATTTCGCGGCCTTGCTGTCGAGGGGAGCGACGGCGGGACGGAGCATGCGGCGGACAAAGGCGGTGATTCTGAAGGGAACGCGCGCACGCTTTAGCTGTGAGGCTCTACCTGGTGCGGGGACCGAGGAAAAACCTACTCAGAGGCCTTTCTGGGGCCGCGATAGTGGTGTTTCGTGCCGTCTTGGCGGTAAAGGCGGATGGCAGGGTAGGAAGCAACGTCGAATTCGGCGCAGAGCGAGGGCGACGTTGAGCAATCTACTGAAAGGGCGGTCGGGACCGCGTCTTCAACTGCGGACCAGTGCTTCTCGAGGGCCGCGCTGGCATCGCTGTGGTTATGTCAACGAAGGTCGCTGCAGAGGTACAGAGCATCGTACGTTGAGGGCTTTTGATACGGTCAGCGCTTTGCTTGCATGCAGCGGCAGCATTGAAGCAAGGGGAATCGCAGGACGTCAATTCAAAGAACGGAGACTTGGCTTACCGCAACAACTGTCTATGGCGTTAGCATGATTCTCCGGGGGGAGGGGGTAGGAACCAGGAGTGTCCAGGTCTCGCGTGACATTTTTGACTTACACGCTACTAAGCTATGCTCGTTCGCCTTGAGGGCATCGCGGACTTCGGCCTCAGTCTTGTGCTGCCAGCCCAAGCTCGCGCCAGTGAGCGCAAGCAATGGCAAGAGAGTCTTGAAAGACATTTAGGGGGTGATAAGATATGCCCTACGCTATGCGATACTTCAGAATAGACAAAACCAGATCCTCTCAAGCTGGTTAGTGGGGTGAAAAGAAGCTTAAAAAGAAGTACAGATCCGTCTGAGCAGAAAAGGAATAAAGATTGGCGCGAAAAAGAGGACAACAAGCTCCGGCTCGGGGGGGTTTGTAGCTCCCCCTGTATCGAATTGGGTTTGACTCGCCGTGGCGGGGTGCCCCTGACGGGGGTGGGGCCAGTCTGATTGGTGCAAGTTCCGATGGTGCGGCCGAGACTCCTGAAACGGCGGGCGGGCAGGGGTATTGATGAGCGGCCGTTTGATCGCCGGGGCGAGTGGAGTCTGTGGGGCCGTGAGAGCGGTGACATTTCGGTTCAAGATTCGCGAGGGTTTATACATCGCAACGTCACATGCCAACGAAGATGTTGAGCACGAAATGACGAGAGTTTTGGTCCAAGGGTTCAGTTGAAAGAGCCAAGAGAGGCACATTGGTTTGTATGAATTGCGCATGACTACCTTGGCCTTTTTGCAGTGTCTGCTACCAGGTATTGAAGTGACCATTTCCGTCTCCGGTAACGTGGCGCGCTGAACGGCCACAGTCCTCGAAGATCGCAAGGCCCTCCAAGATTTTCGAATCCGACTTTGAAACCGTATTGCATGGTCTGATATATACTGAATTCCCTAAGTTGGCCGATTCAGCAAACTAATTGTTTTCTATTAATGTTGATAATGGAGTGCGATTGGTAGATTACCAGAACGTATCAGACTCAGTTGTCTTCCAAATTTTGTCATTGCGATGCCTTCATTCATACATTTGGTTTCATAAAGTTCAACTCAATAGCCCTAATTAAAGTTCCGAGTAGTTTGCTTTAATATGGAACGCTACGGAGGCTGAGAAACTGATCAAGATTACGCAGCATCGCTTGCTTCTAACGCTCTCACAATGCGGCGATTGTGATGTAGCATTGCCACACCCCGGCATAGATGGCATCAGAAGGCCAAATACTAGAAGTTTGAGGCTTGTAGTGTCCGTATTTATTCCGCGTCTTTACACACGCTAAACTTTTATACTCGGCAACTTTCAAGACCAACAGCATCACTGGTACATTTTTTCTCAATCGCTCATCACTATGGGCGGACCGAAGCGAGTAAGATAAGTTTTAGCCATGAATTTTGCAGAAGCGGGAGAAATCGTTGATGGCCCTATCAGGCTCGAGATATATATATCTTCCATCGTCTTTCTGTCAATGAAAAGAGCTCAAAGTAACCTGAGTACAAGATATGACATGTACGCATTTTTCCAGTTGAAGGAGCAAGACTCCTAGCCAATCCCTTGGATCACTCACCAGCAGGTGTTGTGCTTAAATATGGCAACAAAGAATTTCCCATATCCGCAGGGCAGAGGCATACAAAGGATTCCATTTCTAGCAAGGGAGAGGGCACCGCAGCACCGTAGCACCGCAATGACTCTGTGATCCTAATGCGGGAAATCAAAGAAAAGATGGTAAGCATAATTTGGGCAACATTAGGTAGTCGTTCTGCCATCTATAAAAGAGAGGTGATCTCTCTCATTTCATTTGGATGGACCTCAGCAGTCAGATTGGAAGTCAGCACTCCAGCCTCCAGTTTCCAATTGGCAGGCCATGATCATTTCTTCATCGAGAATTCGCCATGATGCTCTTTCTACCCACAATTGCAATCTGTGCCCTGGCAACTGTTCCATTAGTAGCCGCGGCTCCGGCTGATGTTGGATCACCTAGGCCACAACCCTCACATGCGCCTTTCACCTTTGAACAATGGGCTGATGATATCATTCACAATCCCATGGCCCAGCATCTGTCAGCAAAAGAGGCTACAGAAGCTTCAATCAGGGCCCGCAACATTGGGATCGGTGAGTGACCTATCGCTAGCTTCGTCCAGGGCCGGAATAGTTGCTGAATGATCCACTAACATCCAATCTTCCAATGGAGGCTGGCAGCATGGTGCCCCTTACAATACTTCTGGCCCTGAAGACTACCATAGAGATCACTTTGATAAGCGCACAGTTTTCCTCAAGTCTAAGTCTGCGGGCAATGGCAAGATCATTGACGTCAACACTGTTCGATGCAACAGCTTTCCCACAAAAATGGCACCAGTACGTCTTCACAGTTGCAGAATCATGTCAAGCGTAGCATTAAAATATCACTTATGATCTAACCGACTATTTCGACACTGCAGATTGAAGATGCCGCTTGGTGCATCCAGTGGTTAGCAAGCCAAGATGGCACAGTATGCGTTGTGAACGAAAAGGAGATCACGGGATTCTGCCGCTCAAAGGGCAAGACATTCATACTTGGATGGAGGAAGAATAAGCCATCTTTGCACCAATCAACATGGTAAGCGCTTTCCCCGGCCGCCTTTGGCCCGCCTCTGAAACGACATTGACTGATCAAATATTACAAAATCACAGCCAGGAGATTGCGCGAACCGCGGGAAGAATTATGGATTACTGCACCAGTAGCGGGTTTGTACAAGGAGACACTGCTGCCTGGAATGATACGGCGACTGGCGTTATGATTCGGACGTTTGAGTCAGGCGAGATCGATAGAGACCTCAAGTTGGAGATGTGATTGGGAATCTGAAACAGCTCTCGGCGAGCCAACATTCTCTTTTGTCATATTTCCCTCTTCCCAAAGACGAAATTTGATCTTCGTTTCCCACCTTTGTAATTTCGTGTCAATGGACAGGTCGCAGAGATTCAGTTCCTCAGGCGTCAGCTGTGGTTGGGAACCTGTATTGTAGAGTTAGCTACGGAGCCACCTTTGCTTAGCTCTCTAAAGTTTAGTACAACTTAGTGATCGAATTTGAATATTCTATGGTTGGTAAAAATGAAGCAAACTCCTGCATCGTCTGATCTAACTGTCGGATTGGAAGCCCAATTCGACCTCGAGTCAGCGCAAGCGCAGGGGCCATCTGAAGGCCTCTATATCAGCTTTCAGCTAACAGTCTAACCTACGGTTAGAATCTCTCTTTTCAACTTCACGCAGAGATCAATTTACAGTTAATTGACCCTTCGTCACCACGGTTCGATCGAACAAATCACCCTGTGATACGTAAACCAACACTGACACCTCAAGTCTCCGAGGTTCAAGGAAGGGAGGTTCCTATAACCTATACTTGATCATATCAGGCATACTTATATTTACTCTCACTTTTGTGGCGCCGGAGTCTAATTTAATGTGCCAAAAATCAGATCCTCAATTACGCTACCGAATTAGGTACCTAATACTCTGTTCATACCTACGTTATGCACCCACCGGAGTTTATAAGAAGGAATGCACGGATCCACCGCCCCTTTAGCTACTACGCTTGGAATATACAGGGTCAGGATAGGGGTGGCCCCCTTAGGGACCACGAAGGTGACGAAGAAGAACAATCTCGTGGTTCTATTTCTGCGTGAGGAAAACGGGAAACTGGCCTGAAGGGCCAGGTCCATGGATTATATACATATGAGGGCTGTTAGCCTGAGCTTCGGTTACAGGATCCATCCCCTGGTTCCACATACGATCCGACAACTACTCCATTCACCGGGATTCTCAACGTCCATCCGAACATCCAGAGTAGCATTACACCCATGATAAGTTCGCGGCGTTGCTTGCTAACTATGAGTTACTATATCAATGAAGAGTGCGATTTGAATTCGAAGATGCTTCTCCCTTCCCTATTGTGGCTCTAGGATGAATACCCATGGCTACCAGGTTGCTTTTCAACTCGGTAGTACTGGATACTACATCTCTTATGTAAGATTTTGCTAGACAATCAGGCCATGTGGACTGTCTAGTCAGCTTTGATTCTACAAGTTGCCAATTGCTCTATGTACTGTACATCCTAGAAGGTACTGATACGTAGGCCGTCACCACGATAAACTTGAGACAATTGGTTAGCACATGTATCCCGGACACAGGAAGATCGTCTCAGGCTCACCTTTAAATCTGCTGGCATCGGAAGAATCGAGAGGAGGGAGTTGATCCAGTGGAGGAACCTCAGATGAGTGAGCCACGGAGCCTGGCCTAGGAGATGTACGGGGCGTGGGTATCTCTAGGAGCGGGATACTATTTTGTGACTGGGCAGCGTATATGGGTGGTGCCTTTTCCGTGTGGTACCAAATAGGAAGTTTGGGTAGGTCGGAATACCGATCTTTGACGGCTAATTAGCGTCCGCAGTTAGTATATCTCAGATAGCATACATAGGTACAGTCTGACTTACTTTTGGGCAATCTCTTCGCCCCTAGCTGCAGAAGCATGCCGAAAACAGGCGCCCACATGAAGAGAGATAAGACTTGCCCGTAGCCCAAAGCGGCTTCCGTGTAGTATGCTCCCATGGCCTCTGCTTGGAAATTCCGCCATTGTGAAATGCATATGAGCCCCATTAACATGTTCAACCATGCTATAAAAGAGAGTATCGATCTCGCCCATATGATTACTTGCTCCTCATGTTGTTTCATCCAGTGAGTCCCGAAAAGATGACGCCGAGTCCACGCGACTCTAGTCAAAATGAAGAACACGAGAATGGAAAAAAAATAAAAGATTTCTTGAGTGTAAAGCGCAAATGGCAAATATCCAGTGAAATACTCAATCGGACCATCGTGGAATAAAAGCCCCCAGAGGAGGCACGAAGCTACCGTGAAATTGTTGGGCGCTGTGGATAATGGCTGCGAACTTTGAACACTTAGAAACTCAGATGCACCGATAGAATAGTTTAGGTGAGGGATCAACAATGGATAAAGCATGATGTCGAGGTAGTCAGGAGAAGTATCTGACAAGGCATGTAAGGGGTCGCCAAATTCGGTGTTGAGCTGACCTGCCAGGTTCATGGATATTGTTGACATGAGGGTCGAAAACAGTAGAATGATCCAGAAGATAGGACTTCTGCTGCAGCCGCGACGCGGCACAGAAGCAACTGCAATGACAGCACTAGCAGCGAAGAAACAGGCCATTTGGGTGACTATTCCGTTGTAGAAGATTGTTTCACGGGATCCTACGGCCAGTAAAGCGACGGCGAGCGATAGCAGTAGTACGATACCAGTGTTCAAAAAGGCATTGGCGACTCCGACGAAGTTTGGTTGAGTTTTAATGTCGCTGGTATTTTCCAGTGGAATTTCCCGATGTTTCCAGTTATGCCAACATGTCTGTAGGATTATGAAAGTGGCCAAAATCGCTTCAATGATGTAAGAGACAAACATCTATGCGTTAGTTAGCAAGGAGATACGTGGTGTGGCTGCAAGCCCATGGATGACATTACCCCAACACCGGCGATGTCCGGATTGCCCGAATTTTGTAGGTCAGAACATACTGTCTGATAACACTGTTTCTTTCTGGTATATATTTCGCCTGCAGTGAGAACGTTTTGAAGGTTATACCAGCCCCAAAAAGTCTGAATGGATATGTCTTGGTACTGTTCTGGCAATGCCGCAAATGCGGCCCGGATGTTGAATAATGCATCGATTTCTTCAAATCCGGGTGGTAACCAGCGGTTCAGTTCCGCAGTGCAGTTGTCTTGTGTTTCCCAGGTATATGTATCTGCGAGCTGTCTCGAAAGGCAATGGAGCTCGATTGCTGGTCTCGTTACGTTGAGAACGGCGTCGCCTCCGGATGCCGTAGTATTCGCAAGTGCAGTGTATATGACCATGGAGCCAGTCATGCCTGATGGATTTTCAAGGATTCTGTCTACCCAAGAGGAGTAGGCGTCCACCAGCTCGGGCGCTGCCAAATGCATGAAAGCCATATCTTGCGCATCTGACGGAGATTCAGAGCTTAGGTTTCCGTGACCACCAGATTGGAGGTTATGTGAATGGTACCAAGAAGCTGTCAAGGTACAATTGCTCGTTATGTTACCAGCCGCAAGCAGGAAAACAGTCAAGGCCTCGTCAAAGGTCATGTCCAAAGGGGAAATGAAGTCGAAAGGGGTGAAGTTCAAATTGGATTGTTGTTCGATGATCCATTCCTCCGGTATGTATGGATAAAGATAGCTGGCATTGCCATTGATGGTCTGTTGCATGGCTAGAATAGGGAAAATGAAGACCAGGAGACTTCGTAGGCAAAGAACCCTGCTGGTTTCTCCCATCGCGCGGGATAGGGTTGACTTCAGGTCGCGTATTCAAGGTCCGTGTTCGTTGGAAAGTAGGCAGGTCGACAGCCCGGAAACGCAGGTGTTTGCAAAACGGCAGAAGTCTTGGGCGCAAAGTGTCGAGATAGCCAGTTTTAATTCGGACAAGATGAAATCAACACTTCCGGTGTTGGTCCTTGACTTAATGATGAGGAGTCTGAGCGTCGACTCTTGAATATATCTAGAATCAGGCTAGACGGCATGACAGGCTGTGAAAACGGAGCAAGGCTGGCTAAAGATTGGCAAATCTTTGCGTGGTCGGGCCGAAGAGTCGCATGGAGTTCCATCATAAGTCCAATGAAAAGTTATCGAGGGGCACAGCTTGCGGGTCACAGAGAATAAACGTGGCTTAATTGATCGATTAATGCAGTCAGCAATAGCCTCAAGTTGTATTGAAAGGCGTGTCATCCAATGTGCCACCGCACATCCCACCGTCTTGCGGCAGGCTGAGCTGTCTCGCTGTGTTTTGCGCCCGCAGATGAAATATCCCTGAGCACGTCTTTTGCGAAGGCAGCTGCCTAACAGGTAAGGCTAGCCAATCCTATTGATTCGATCGTCCGTCATGAAAGTTTGTAAGTGGAATCCCTGTCGAGGCAGCGCCGTGGCGGGAAAAGCAGCATCATTGGACTGGATGGAGATAAGGCTCTTAACTTGTGTCTCAATGAGCGAGCTCATAGAAACACCGGATATCCAGAAATTTTGGCCTGACAACATTTCGAATCTGTAGAAAGGTATTGTACGTCGACTTTTTCCCATTACTTAAACACACTAGTTCTATTTATGGAAAAGAACCTCTTCAAAATCCTTGTACGGCAGCGCAGGCTGCTCATCAACACCGTCAAGCAGTCCAAGATACCAGGCCGAATCCCCAACGTTCTGCTCGCGTTGCGCAAATTCGTTGCTCCAGTATCCGAACCGGTTGCTTGTCGTGTGCTTGAGGTCGTAGTCCTCCCAGAGCGGCGTGGCGATGGTCTTGAAGAACTAGTTACGCGAGCTCGGCTACATCATGGGTTCGCCGTCGACGATGCCCTGTTTGAAACACGAGCGGCACTGCGAGATCCACACCGTCAGCGGCAGGAACTTGTTTTGATGCGCGGCAAAGTCGTTGACGGCCTCCTGTTTGGGATAGAGTTAGGCAATCTCGTCCTCTGACATTTTGCGGAGCATTTGCATCACGTATCTCGCCCTTGTCTCGGTGAGGGGTGGACTTCCGTGGCCGGTAGCGCAAAAATTGATTTCTAACTCATGCTACTTTCCATCTGCAGTCTTGATTCCGTTGGGTGTGATTTCCTGGATACTTGAAGAAACGATGGTCACGTTGTATTCGCAGAGCGCATCAAGATCGCCATTTCCAGGAGTAGGCCTCCGGTAGCCAACAGCAAAGTCTTTCGGAATGATGAGGTCTTGGAGGTCCGGCCTGCTGGCGAGCTTCCAGCCCATATCTTGGGCCGCGAACTGATGAACTTATCACCACATAATCTCTGATGAATCTGGGGCAAGACCTACTCCTTAAGCAACCACCTGCTCCTTTGAACTATGTCCAGCAGAACGTTGACCGAAGCCGGTGGGAGAGAGGGAGGTAGCGGTCAAGTTGGAGTAAATAGATATGTGCATTGCTTGCAACAAAGAGTTGGGAGGCTATATACCAATATTTGGAGTTATCGAGGACGATGATGAAGGACTAGATCTTGGGCGTCTTGAATCGCCAATGCCTCTTAGCTTAAGTTTGTGATACTCTATACGGAAAAGCGTTCTTATATGACATCTTCAAGTTTCAAACCGCATACAACAACCCTTAAGCTTACGCGTGTTGTCATACCTCCGTGTATAGCGGCCCTCCGCTCATGCACACCGCACCATCCCAATCCATCATCCCCACACCTTGTGTATTAATATAATTAAGTCATTTAAATCACTCATAGGATCTAGTGTCAAATAAAATATAAAAGCTTGAGTAAATTCTAATCGCGCTGCCTCACTAGCCGCGGCTTTCACTCCCGTGGTGCCCCAGGCCGAGGATAGTTTAGCCAAGGAAATTCAGTCGAGGGTACAAGGGAAATAGATTGTGAATCGCATCCGCTTCAATACCAACGTCTCACCCATCTCTCGAATGAACAATGAAACTCTAAATTTGTTCCACCTGCCGAGATAAGGCGAGGTATTACCCGTGGGATAAGGACATTGCCAGTGGGATTCCAATGTCGCAAGTTTCCGAGAAGCAGATGCATTCACAAGACCCGGGAAAGGCCATCTTCCATAATATCAACCCAATGCCCTAGGTATTAAGCTCTGGAGTACAAAAAGGTCACATGGCGTGTCCACATTCATTGGCTAGGTTTGGTCCCAAATTGAAAGCCAGATCATAAGCAATAAATGTTAGTCAAAACGACGGGCTCATTAATAAGAGTCACTTGTAACAATTTATTCATTGATTCATCGCCACGTGAATTAGAGTATCCCATTACACGTCTTCTACAACGTCAATCTCCCTACAAACTCTTCCACATTATACCCTCCAAACAACTTCCGACCTCCACTCGACTCAATCAAATTACAACCTAGAGACTAGAAACCGGCAAAAACGATGGGTCGAACTGGAAAGGACATTTGACCGCGGTGCAGATACAGCCGCTACCCTTCGGGACCGCCTGGCAGCGCGTGGCGGGGACCTTGGGATCGCAGCAGCAGCAAAGCTCCTGCGTGACTGGGTCGTGCGGGCACGCGATGGCGGGCACGACGCAGATGCCCTTCTTTGGGACCCGGCAGATGTAGTTGCCGGCCCCACGGTTCTCCAGGTCGCAGGAGCAGCAGTCGGCCTTGGGCTCGGGGATCGCTTCTCGGGAGAGCAGGCCGTCGGCGCCGGTGGGCGAGGCGTGGACGAGAGTGAGTGTGCCGATAACGGCGAGGAGGACGGATTTGATGGAGACTTGCATTTTTTGGGGGGGGGGGCTTTGTGGAAGATTGAAGTGGTATACTGGGATTTTGGGAGGGAATGATTTTATGATATTCTTTCTTTTGGTTGTGGTTCTGGTTCTGAGTTGTCAATGGCTTGTGGCAGTCTGCTGTTGATACTGAGTTCTTCAAGGCCCTTTGACAGTTTATATACTCATCGCATGCTGTGTGACCCTCCCTGGTTGTCTCTAATGCTTATGAATAGACACATATCCAGCTATCCCACAACGATGACAACATCGCACCAAGTCATTGACCTCCTAAACCTGATTGGCCACTTAGATGGCCATGTCTACCTCCCTAGACTAAACACGTAGTTAAAAAGTCCCACCCTAAAGGAGAGACACGACGATGTCAGACCAAGACCTCAAGCCGGCACCGCCCGCGACGGTGAGATTATTGCATGCCTGGAATAGGAAATAGCACGAACCGCTTAGCCTTCGCCGGATCAGCCACCTGCAAGAATTACGAACCCCGGATTTGCACAAAAATGGCGGTCGTCGAAAACCTTCATGGCCCAACCTGTCTACATACGATCATATCTTTCAGGATGATACGGTCTTTTAAGTCGGACACGGGAGGGTTTTTACTTCGGTTTACAACGTTAGTTACCCACTGCGAAGCGAGGTGTTGAAGATGAAATCTGATACATCAAACCTTGTGGTTTTTAGCCAATGTGAGTCACGAAGCCAATGAGGAAAAAATACAAGTAGTAAGGCTACTGCGTACGGGAGCAACAGAACGAGTTGCTAGCTGGATGCTCTTGGAACCCGTCGTGCTGTTTTGCGGCGTCCCTATCCCCCGCAAGATCTCGGATCCCGCCGAGAAAAGGGCCGATCGTAGAGTTGAAAAATGTCTCGATCAATGAGGTCGAGTTGAATGTGGAGAACCGAAGAGACACATTTGAGTAAGTGTTGAAGGGAGAAGAATAGGAGCTCGTACGTCGTCTCGCCAAGAGTAAAAAGAGCGTTTTCGTCTTGATATTCTAGTGTCTGTAAGCTTGGCAGGTGTTTTCCTGTCAGCTTATGTCTCAGCCGGAGCCCTCGACAACTCCCTTCACCAAATGGTGCAGACTTTTCATGTTCATCCTCTGTCTTTGATGTGCCCTGGGTATCAAGGCATTAATAATCAAGGTCATCGTGGAAGCCCGTCCTAGATTCATTTCGCCCGATCAGGGCTGTGTAATTGATTGGCTTCAATCTCGAATCTTGGCATCAGTTGCTGACTCTAGGCAGAACGTTCAGCCCGCCGGAAGGCGCATAAAATGTGGCAAACATTCCTAAAAAGGGGAACGAAATCCAGGATGAGAGGGCGTCCTGGGCAGACGTGAGAATGACGCCCGCGGCCCGGCCCCTTCGTCTACAAATCCGGATTCGGCGATCTTGGCAAGACAACTTCATTCATCCTCTCTCTCAACTAGGATCGGGCGACGGCTTGTCAAACCGACTCTACATAACGGCCAGCCGGCCATATCGAGGATTCATTTCGCGCACGAGAACCGTTGTGCCTCGGTTCTATTCTTAGATGCGGATAGGGTTTTGTGAATGATTTGGCTTGCGGCTTTGCCAGAATCCGGCCAGGATTTTCAGACGATGGGCAAAAGTTGAGTTTGTAAACTCGCGACCTAGATCCATCTGTCCGGCGAACGAAACCGGCAGCGAGGGATCGGGCCTTGTTCCGGTGGCTATCCTGGGTATGGCCGGGTTCGAGGAAACATGTTCGGTTGGGCAGCTCGGGGAGGCCAGGGCTGTTGCTGGCATTGCTAGAGTTTACCAAAGGCAGTTTCCGATGATCCAGTTCGTTCTCGGATCTCGTACACGAGTCACAGCCACCGAAAATGCCCGAATATTGTCAAAGTTTCATCCAGAGTTGATAATAAGCATTCATTCGACCCTTGCGTTCAAGGTCAAGGAGACTACATAGGTGGCGAAGCAACATGCCTTTGTTTTGGTTTGGTTATTTTTTTCGTCGTCTCATCATTTCCCATTCCGATAATTCCGTTTGATAAACTGCGCAACCATTCGCTGGTGAGAAGGAAAAAAAAATGTTTTCGCACTCATAGCATTGTGCTTTGAACTCGTAAAGCTCTCCCGAATGTTTGAAGCTCTCCTTCTCCGTGGATATGAAAATGCTTGTTGGGATGAAATCAAAAATATTGCTGTGTTGGGGGGGGGGGTGGGAGTTACATCGACTCCAATCCATCTGCGTTGTTTGGAAGACTGCTTGATTCAATCCGACTTTCCCTTTCAACTTCCACCGACCAGGGTATGTAACGTAACAAAGAGGCTTCGACAGGATTGGGAGGTATTTGCCAGAAGCGATTTGATGAAAAAAAAAGAAGTGCAGTAGAATAATATACGAACCAGTTTTTGAAACCGATCACTGTTCCCTCTTTCAAGTTGAGGAAAAACTTTTTTTTTTGGGAAAACACGCTTGTAGGACACACAGCTTTTGGTACACGCGCCAAGGGGCTTCTCTCTTCTTCGACAGACAAGCTGAAGGTCGTCTTGTCATCTTCAGTTCGACATGCGCAAGATGGGATATAGCGGCGCAGCCGGGGCGGGCTTAGCATCAACCTCCATAGGTTCCGGAGACTTGAGTCGGCTAGCCGCAGGAGACTTGGGAGCTTCTGTGGCCTTCTCGGCGGACTCCTCCTCAGAGTACTCTCTCCGGTCGATGCGATCGCGGATGTACTCGCGGAGCGCCTCGATGGTGCGCATGTTCTCGAGCCACTGGTCGTACTTCTCCTCGCGTTCGCGGGTGCCTTCGCTGGTATCCGACTCGGAAGAGGGAGAGCCCACCGACGAGGCGACGGACTCAGCCTTAGGAGTGGTGACGCTGGAGGAGTCCTCGTAAATGATGGGGGACTTGGGCGAGGAGGGCGCGGCGCGCTGGAGCATGCCTCCAGAATAGCGTCTGCGCTCATTGCTGTCGAAGCTAGGTCCGAGAGTCGAGGCGGTGGACTGGCCAGGGAAAACGGAGCTGACGGCCGGGAGGTTGGGGTACATAACTGAAGATGCAGTGGAGCTGTGTCTCGACTGAGGAGACATGCCGGAAGAAGAGGGACTGGGCGAGTGACCAGATGTGTAGGACATTGTGCTTGAGGGAGGAGTGACGGCGGGAGTTCCAGTCGACGAGACTGCGGTCAGTGGTGACGCCATGTGAGCAGCGGACACGGGGTAGCCATCTTGGGTGACTGGGATGCCGGCGTGGGAGCCTCTGTGAACACCTGGAGGCGAGGGGCTGTGGCGGAGATCGAATGTGTTCTGGCCGTGGATATGGATTCCTTGGGTGGCCTGGTGCGAGTTCTCGTAGACAGTGCTCTGCATCTGCTCCAGAATCTGGTCGATTTGGACCAGGTCGTTCTTTGTGCGGGCGTTGGGCATGGGTGGCAGGTAGTACTGCTGAGACATGGGTCCGGGGCCGGAAGGAGGTCCGCCGGCCTGTTGGTGGTGAACATGCTGCTGGGGCTGGGCTGCCATGTAGTCGGAGCCGGGCATTGGGCCAGCGTGCAGGCCGAGGGCGCCGTGAAGGGGGAGAAGGGATCGGCCGACTTGTTGGTAAGAGGTGGGATCGACCTGGCGACGCTTGGCGTGTGCGAAGAAGTCGTCAACCATGTCGAAGGCGCGCTTGTTGCGGTTGTCATAGCCGGGGTGATGGCCGATGTACTCAGTTCGGGGAGGGTTCAAAGGTTGTTGGTTGAAGTACAGTCCATAGTTTGTAGATGGTTGGGGTGCATAGTAGCTAGCATGCCCAGCCTGGTGTGCGAAGGCGGCCGAGTTAGTCCGAATGTGGCCATTATGATCATAGTAGCTAGAAGAAGCTGGAGGCAAATTAGCCTCTAGTTGGAGAAAATAGAGGACATTGGAGTGCAAACTGAGCTCTACATACCTTTGCCAGGCTGCGCCCGGTAGCCGTTCAGACCTTGGTCCTGAGGCGAGCGGACGAGCACCGAGTCATCGGCGTGGGTCTATTTGTTTGTGTTAGCCTGGTGATCCCGCGAGATGGTCAGGGTGGTGTCGGCTGATATACCTTGACATGCTTCTTCAAGTCCTGAGGGCGCTTGAAAGACTTGCCGCAGAACTCACACTTGTGAGGCTTGAGGGGAACGTGCACACGAATATGAGAGGTGATGTGATCACGCTTCACAGTGGTCGTCCGACAGGAGTTCCATTGGCAGGTCAGGTTGAGGTTGTTGGTGCTCTTGCGGCCAACATGGCGTTCACAAATGTGCTCCTGTTAGATGATTAGTGAAATGTTCTGACGAATCCAAGATGGGGGGGCATTGATTGCCACTTACGTAGAGAGCCTCAGGTGAGACAAACTTCAGGTTGCAGGCGTTCCACTTGCAGATAAGGTTATCCTCTGCACTCGTGCTGTTGGCAGACTGGGAGGTGCTGCTGGTTGTTGTTGAGGGCGCGGGAGTGCTGCTCTTGGGAGAGTTGCTCGCAGAGCTCTCAGTCTCTTGTTTGGCGGACATAATTGCTGGGGTGTGTTGACCGAGCTGGCGGGCTCGGTGAGAGAGTCCGGAAGATTGGTACGTGCCGGGTCCCGTCGGGTTTTGGGAAGGCGCGTGGGATTGGATGCTTGTGTAAGTAGGAGTGGGGTCCTTGGATGCTTCAGGCAGTGGAGGGTAAATTGCCGAGAACAGGCAAGAGTATACTTGGGATCATACAAAGCTGATCGCGAAGAAAAGAGACGGTTAGCAATGCTTTTATGTTTTTCTGCCGACTCTCGTAAGACTGGGTTGTTTCCGAGGGAAATCAATCAGTCTGATCTGGGGGGCATGGACGATGGGCTCTTCTCTTTATTCTTGAATCACATTTCCTCTCCGCTCTTCCTACCCTCCCAAGAGTCTTGGCAAAGTCTTGGCGACCGGGGCTTGTGAGACCAGACGGCTTTTGATTGGTCCAAGGTGGCGAGGGCTGCCGAGCTGATGTCGCGGATGATGGGGGGAGACAACCAGATGGCCAAGGTCCGT